CACTCAAATCACCTTTCTTCCCCATACTGATGCTCGGTTTGAACTGCAGGAGATTTTCTTGACCATGTCTACATGCCTAAATGCACTGAGTTGCCGCCATGTGATTGGCTGATTAGAAATTAAGTGTTAATGAGCAGTTGGACAGGTGTCCCTAATAAAGTGGCCGGTGAGTGTATATATATATATACTCTATGTGAATTTAAGACTTTTTAAGGATTTTTAAGGACCCGCGGACACGCTGTACTAAGATGGCAGCATAAATTCTCCCCTTGTTAGCATACTGCAATAATTAGCTAAACCAATGTATTTCTATGACATTTTAAAGACCAGAGTTGTTCCATTTTTCTCTTAGTCCCACTCAGACTAACCGTTAGCTCATCACTCTCCTCAGAACTAAACTCGATTGCTACAAACTGTGGATGTTCTTCAACAGYTAAGATATTTACTATTCACAACCAACAATTCTTCCCAAGTTTGGAACTATAATTTTTTAGTAATACACTGGAAAAAAAGTCAAACCTGTCACATCATAAAGGTTCATTAAAGTTCCCACAGCTGCAGCAGCGACATAAAAAAAATGACAGTCTGGTAATAAATAGCTCCGAGTCATCTCTGAGTTTAACATTGATGAAGACTTGTTGAAAGTTGCCTAAACAGTTTGAGAGTTATGAAAACAGTGACCCGGATGCTCCAAAACAGGGCTTGAAGTTGCTTGGGGAGATAAAACGTGTTGAAGTGAAAGCGTTTGATGCACAGAAGAGGTAGAAAAATAAAAACATCTGGTCAGCCTGGGGCTGTGTGAGGGGAGGAGCTGAGGCTGAGGCTTGGAGCAAAGACTCAAACAGAAACCTGCAGTTCATGTGGGAGGACCCACAGACTTGAACTTGAAACTAAGATAATAAACCACGGGTGTAAACTTGACCCCTTTTATAAATATATAATTTACAGCCCCCGTTCTGCTGCCCCTCAGTCGGACAATAAGGCTGGGAAGTCGTTGCTTCCCTGAGGAGGACAGAGACTCACCTGCACAGGTAAGACTGAACATTTTTACCTGCTTAAAAAAGCATGACTAAACAGAAAGAAACTAGATTAAATTTATCACTATTTCCTAACACTTTAAGCTCATGTYAAGTTAGTTTTTTTAAACTTTCCATTAATGACTTGATATAAGTGAGAACATATTTTCCATGTCATTATGCAGCATGCTTCATACATACCAGTGACTGACATGTAACTTCCAGAATAAGGTGTTGCCTGCACCTTTCATGTTCACGGAACAGACGATAAGATTGTAAAGGGAAATACAATAAGAG